GAGAGTTTTATCGTGACATGATGTTGAATTTTGTCAAATGATTTTTTTGCATCTACTGAGATGATCATATGATTTTTCTTCTTCAATCTGTTAATGTGGTGTATCACATTGATTGATTTGCATATACTAAACCATCCTTGCATCCTCAGGATAAATTCCACTTGAACACTGTGTTTGATCTTATAACGTGCTGTTGAATTCAGCTTGCTAGTATTTTGTTGAGAACTTTTGCATCTATGTTCATCAGGGATATTGGCTTGTAATTTTCTTTTCTTGTAGTGTCTTTGTCTGGCTTTGGCAGCAGGGTAATGCTGGCCTTGTAAAATTAGTTTGGGAGTGTTCGTTTCTTTTCAATTTTTTTGAAGAGTTTTAGAAGGATTGGCATTAATTGTTCTTTCAATGTTTGGTAGAAGTCACCAGTGAAATCATCTGGTCCTGGGCTTTTCTTGTTGGGAGATTTTTGGTTATTGATTCAACTCCTTACTAGTTATGGGACTATTTAGATTTTCTATTTCTTCATGATTCAGTTTTGGTAGGTTGTATGTTTCTAGGAATTTATCCATTTCTTCTAGGTTTTCCATTTTGTTGGTGTATAATTGTTCATAATAGTCTCCTAAGATCCTTTGTATTTCTGTAGTATCAGTTGTAATGTCTCCTCTTTCATTTCTGATTTTATTTACTTGTCTTCTTTTTTTCTTAGTTTGGTTAACAATTTGTCAATTTTGTTTATTTTTTTTAAAAAACAGGTGTTAGTTTCATTGATCTTTTCTATTGGTTTTCTGGTCTATATTTCATTTATTTCTGTTCTGATCTTTGTTATATCCTTCTACTAACTTTGAGCTTAGTTCTTCTTTTTCTAGTTCCTTGAGGTATAAAGATAAGTTGTCTATTTGAGATCTTTCTTTTTTCTTATTATAGGTGTTTCACTATAAACTTCCCTCTTAGGACTGCTTTGCTGCACCCCATACATCTTTGTGTGTTGTGTGTCCATTGTCATCGGTTTCAAGATATTTTTTGATGTCCCTTTTGATTGCTTGCTTGACCCATTGGTCGTTCAGGAGCGTGCTGTTTAATTTCCACGTTTGTGAATTTTCTAGCTTTTCTCCTCTTAGTGATTTCTCGTTTCATACCACTGTGGTCAGGGCACCAGCTGGGTGGGAGGTGACAGCTATATCTCTGGAGAAGGTTCAGTGTTGTAGTTTCCATGCAGCTCCATCAGCTGAGATCAGCATTGGCAAAGACTGTAGTGTTCCTCAAAAGCCAAGGCTAGTGATTTCTGTAGCAGTGGCAAGGTCTGTTGGGGTCTTTGGTGGCAAAGGCTGCTCAGGACCTCCTGATCACTTTTTCTCCCACAAGGGACGTCATGACCATGGGGATCTCTCTTGGCATCGGGTCTGGCTTACAGGCACCCTAGCAGTGTTGGTGGCACTAGTGTCTGGTGTGCAGGCACCCCTGGAGCAGCCATCGAGCTGAGGACTGGAATGTGGGTGTTTTCAGAACAACAGCAGCTGTGGGTCCTGGGTGCTGGCTCACCCATAGTGGCAAGGATGTGTGTAACACAGGTGGATGTCACGTGGCCGCAAAGCCAGGGTTTAGATACAATCTGCTTTACTTTCCATTTCAGGAACTAGTCTCAGCCCTGTGTGAGCTCTGCAGACTGTCCCTTGTCTCCCTTCAGGTGGTTCTGTCCCAGCTTGGGTAGTCCCTCACACACATGCACTGATCAGCACCCAACTGAAGACTCGGGGAGCTTCTGCAGATGCCCAGAGCTCTCACTTTGTGCAGTTCACTCCCCTCTGGTCCTCTCTCCTGTGAACTGTAGCTGCCTTACCTTCCCCTATCAGTTCCATCTCCTCAATTCAGGTGGACCACCAGGCTCCACCTGTGTCCTGTCTGCCGAGTCTGCAAACTCCCCAGGCAGTAAGCTGGGCATCATAAGACTGACCTCATGTGTTCCCCACCTCTCTAACTTACCTTCCTTCATTATCTATTGTTTGCTGTCTTGAAAACTATTGTTTCATATATTTTGTCTGGTTTTTCAGTTGTTTCAGGCTTGAGATAAATATGGTCCTTTCACTCCATCTCGGCTAGAAGCAGAAGTCCATTTATTGTTTCACTATGCCACTTTCACATTATTCACCCCTTTTAAGAAAAGGTTCAGGGGCTTGCCTGGTGGCGTAGTGGTTAAGTTCATGTGCTCCGCTTTGGCAGCCCGGCTTGGATCCTGGGCACAAACCTACACATCACTTATCAAGCCATGCTGAGATAGAGTTCCACACAGAAGAACTAGAAGGACGTACAACTAGGATACACAACTATACACTGGTGCTTTGGGGAGGGAAAAAAAGAGGAATAATGGCAACAGATGTTAGCTCTGGGCCAATCTTCCTCACCAAAAAAGCATACCTTTGAGAAAAAAAAAAGGTAAGGTTCACTTATTTCTGAACAATCATATAGAATTACATGCCTGATTTGCTTTTATTTTATTTTTGTTTACCATTCCTCGTAAGAGGATACTAAAGTGTCAGGCATTACAGTCAGTGTTGGAAATCTGACTCTGAGGCAGTGTCATTTCTTGTTTCCCAATTATGCCTCTTCCCTCTTGGTTGACACCTCTCCACTGACGTCTGATCCACTGGGAAGGACCCGGCTCTTGGACTTCCCAACCACGTGGCCCATCACCGCAGGAGACCTTATGAGGAAAGAGCTGGCAAATCCTGAAAACCTGGATGTGCCCACTTTGGGGAGTGTGCATTGATCTTAACATATTCGTTCATCCATTCAACAGGTATTCACTGAGCATCTCTGAAGTGCTAGACATTGTGCTAGGAAGTGGGGCTGTAACAGTGACCAGATCAGACAGTCCTCAAAGAGGGTGCGTTCTCATAGGGAAAACAGCAATAAACAAGTCACCATACACAACACTATTAGGCATAGAGCAGGTCAAGCTGCAATCATATAACAATTTACCAGGAAGATACATTTCACCAGGAAGATGAAACAATTCCAAACCTGTGTGAACCAATGCACATAAACCAATGACATATGTACAATGTAAAATCGAGACATCCATATTTGCAGAGAGAGATTTAAAACATTTCTCAGAGAAATCAACAGAGCAAACAGGTAAAAATGAGTGAGGATGTAAATATTTGAACCAATCAACTGTGAAGTGGTATTTAACAAATACATATACGATCTTGTATTTTAAAAATAAAGATATTCTTTTCAAGTATGCACAGAATATTTACAAAATGTAAGATCAATAAATACTGAGCACATTGGAACAGACCAGCGAGGACTCAGAGGTACTGTGAACTCAGAGGTACAATTCACTGACCCCTCTGCATTTGAGTTAAAACTTTAAGTTTAATAAAGAGCTGGTATTAGACATTTCCACAGATACCAAAGACATGATATCATCAGACCACACTGTCAGACCACCGTGCCAGGAAGGGTGATAAGCCCCGAGCAGAAGGCTACACTAGTTGGAGGAGGTCACGTTCTATAGGTGGTCCAAGATGGGGTGACATTTGAGCTGAGGCCTGATGCTGGAAAAAGAGCCAGGGAGAAAGTCCCTGAGACTGGGCCACGGGAGGTGCTTGAGGGGCACCAGGGGGTTGAGAGCCCCCCACCTCCACTCAAGCCTCCTTCACAGGAACCCGCTGACAGGAGCAATGGTGACTCACCTTACAAGCGTGTGTTCACTTCTACAGCAGCCCTAGGAGAAGGGTCTTATCACTGCCGCCATTTCAGAGACAAAAAACTGGGCTCCCGAGGGTGTCACGCAGCTAGTGAGCAAGGGAAGCAGGGTGGGACCCCAGTGCTAAGATTGCGCCACTGCGTCATGGAAACCCAGAACAGGGAAGGGCCGTAAAAGCACTCTGTGAAGTGCTGCAAGAGCGGGCGCCCCCTCATCTTAGAGCTTTATCTGGACGTAAACTCCTGAGTCAGCTGGTATCTAATACCAACAGGGAACTTGGGATTAAATACACCTGGTGTTCAATGAAGATGGTGTGAGGTGGGGCTGGCCCGGTGGCGCAGTGGTTAAATTCACACGTTCTGATTCTCGGCAGCCCGGGGTTCGCCAGTTTGGATCCCGGGTGCAGACATGGCATCACTTGGCAAAAGTCACACTGCGGTAGGCGCCCCACATATAAAGTAGAAGAAGATGGGCATGGATGTTAGCTCAGGGCCAGTCTTCCTCAGGAGAAAGAGGAGGATTGTCAGTAGTTAGCTCAGGGCTAATCTTACTCAAAAAAAAAAAGATGGTGTGAGGTGACACTGTGGCAAATGGCTGCACCATCCTAGCAAATCCTTCATCTACCCTATTCATCCTTGCGAGCAGCCGCACTTGAAACAGCATGTGTTGGAGTCCACATACTGCATTCAAAATGGTCAGCGCGAGCTGCTAACCAAGGCTTTGCTCTGTGGAAGAGCCCTTTCACAGTTTTTTAAATTAAAAAGGAAATAAATCTGAAGTATGCACTCTCATAAACTTTTGTTGGGAATGCAAAATTTCTTTGGAGGGCAATATTGTAATAGACATTTAAAAATCTTAAAAAGCAAGAATTCGCTAGCAATTTCACGTCAATGAACTTATCTTAGGGAAAAATTCTAAATGCAGAAAAAGCTTTAGGCACAAAATGTTCCTTGCAGCCCTTTATATAAAAAGCAAAAAATGACAGGATTTAAATGTCTAATCACGGAGTTGGGGAGTAAGTTATGGATCATGATTATTAGGAAATATTGTGAAGCCCCTAAAGTGAGCTGCAGAAACAACTGGTGGCAACACATGCCTAAGATGACAGGAAAAGGGGAAGGGGCACGATGCAAAAATCACATCATCTAAACAGTAAAAAAGGCTGGAAGGAAATCAGCAGCGGTGCACATTTAGGCCCTGCTGGGGAGGGTTTTCCAATTCCTTTCTCTTCCTTGGCCTCTCATGTCTGGATCACAACGAGCAGGTACTGCGCATCCACAGTCACTAGGCTACTTACTTTGCTGTCAATTTTCTTCAAGTCTGAGAGGCAGTCAGAGGAGACCTCCTCGCATTTCAAGATCAAAGAAAGATGTGCCAATTCAAACAGCAAAAGAATTCTGGAAACAAAGAAGCAAACACCAATGGATCAATAAGGGGTGACAGGAAACACAGACCTGCCTGGCAGAATAAGCATGCAGCCACTGTTCATCCGCAGGCAGGAAACAGAACAGAACGTAATCGAGACCCTATGCGGACAGTCCCCAAGCCCAGCCAACCCCAGTCTGACCCGGGATTTGGAGGAAATCACAGGCTGTGTCCTGCTGGGGGAAGCGCCCTCCTCCTCAGCCTTCAGGGCAGGTCTGAGCACAGTCTGGACGAGGCGGGGACAAACACCCTGCACAGCAGCTCAAGCCGTGGGTGTCACTCTCTGAATTATTGGAGCAGTGGCAACATCAGGACAGATGTGTATCTCCTGACTCAAAGCCAGCTCTTCCTACCACATGATGTGCATCTGGGAGCATCACCAAGAGCATCTGCAGTCACCAATCAGGGTGTCTGTAGAAATGGACATGCTGATGCCGAAATTTATACAGAAATGCGAAGGACCTATGATGGCCTAAGCAACTTTGGAAAACAACAAAGGCAGAGGACTAACCTCCCTAATTATAAGACTTACCAAGAAGCTGTAGGAATGAAGGCTGTGGCCCTGGTGAGACAGGCCAGGTGTGCAGCCCTGACTCTGACACTCTAGACCAGGCAATTCTTTGTGAGTGGGGAGGCCTGTCCTGCGCACCACAGAACATTTAGCAGCAGCTCTGCTTGCCAGCCACTAGATGCCAGTAGCAGCTCCACTAGTGGCCACCAGCAGTGTCTCTAGACACACCAAATGTCCCCTGGGGACAGGCCAACCCCCTTTCTGCCCTGTCCGAGGTAACATCACAGCCTTACCAAGGAACGCAAGCAGCTGCTCCGCTGTAGCAGCTGAACTCCAACCTGCGATGGGAAGGGGTGTGGGCCCCGTGCTCCCCACCGCCCCGCCCACCTCCTCCACCAGCTCAGTCCCTGGACCTCCAAGGGCCCTGGCAGGCCCGGCCTCCCAACCTCCAGCCCCTCCACCCCTCCACTCTCCTTGAGCTGAAGCTACACAGGCCTGCTGTGCAGCTAGGAAGGGAGAATCCATAAAGGTATAAACCATTGGTGTTCATCCTTTTTTGATTTTAAACTATCAGGACCAGTTTTTTCCTACATAGAATTCTAGACAGAGAAGCCCAGTGGAGAGGTGTTAACAGGGCTCCTCACAGAAGGAACCTCTGGGGCTCTTGGGGCGGAGGGAGGACCTGAAGCCCAGGGAAGGCAGATCTGACTGGCTGAGCCTGTGTCCCCAGCAAGCAGAGGACACACTTTCTCTTCCAGTGCCCAAGGAGCAGAGACCCAATGCTGACCGCACATGAAGCCACGGGGAAACGTGACTGTTCAAATGGGAAACTGTCGTGGCCATCCTCTCTGGCCACAATGCAACGAAACTAGAAGTTCTTATAAAAGTGAAGCCATAGGGACACTGCAGGGAAGAGAACCATTTTCAAATCCTGGGGGTCAGGGAGCCTTGCCAGGTGCATGGGTAGAGGCAGAGAGCATAGTCCAAGGCTGGTTCACAGGGGGGCACTGGGGCGGGGCAGGGGGCACAGTCAGCTCTGAGCTGGGGCCACGTGGCCTTCGCTTCTGGGGGACACAACGTGCTTCTGGGAGATCCGGGTCAGCATCGACTCACATGACCGTTGGGCCAGGAATTGGGTGAATCCACTGAGAGGCCTAAAACAGCCTCTGGGCCAGGATCAGTGGGAATAAATGTTCGCTCAGATTACTCTTCTATTAAATAAAATATTTCTGTAGATCAAGAATTATTTTTAAAAATCTCAGGGTAAACAAACCGGGTCTATTGATAAACACATGGGGGCTGGAGGGCTCAAATTTCAAAACAGAAAAGGCGTTTGCAAGTCAATAATAAAATGATTTATACCCTACATTCTAAAAATTGGGCAAAAGAAATGAATAGGAAATTAACCAAAGAAAAACAATGCCAGTAAATATATGAAAAACTTCCAACTTCCCCAGCAGTCCAAGAACGTGAAGCAAGCCCATGGCATGCATCTCTCACCCGACACGCTCAGGGCTTCCCGGGAGGCGGGAGGCGAGCATCCTCACGTGTGTGCTCTGTAGAGCTGTGCAGCATGTGTCAAGGGCGCCAGAGGCCCATTCCTAGAAACTGCTCCCAGAGGCTGCTCAGGCTAGTAGTGAGACCCTCCATGGAGCACCCAGCAGTGACGGAGTGCCAGAGGCCACGGCTGAGCCCAGCCTGCCTTCAGTTAGAACAACTTAGAGATTCTGAGGAAAGAACTGACCCTCTTTTCAGAAAAATGCTCACACCTACACATACACATGTATGTATGCATTCACACACCCTAGACAGCCTCCCAGAGGATCTGAAAATCCACGTTAGGATCCTGGTCGTAGGAGAATATTTCCTGATGCAGAAAAATATTCACAATTTATGTGGAAAAAGCAGGTTAAAAACTATGTGATGATAATTTTGAAAACAAACATTGATGCCATTTTCAAACTTCCTATAATATTTACAGATTAAATTTGAAATGAGAAATGATGAAAGTCACTTAAAAAATATGTATATACAACCTTTAGCCCATGAAATCTAGATAAATTTCAGAGCAACGGAGGAACTCACATGTGAAGTGACAACATGAACACGAGATGTCTTGGTGCACCCTCGCACCCAATCCAGCCACCAGCTGTCTCAGGACACCCATGACCCTGCGTTCATGGCCTGTGGCGTACCCTGCTTCTAACCCATAGGAGACCTCAGTGCTGAGCAGAGGCCACATTCCTGATCAGCTCACGAACAATTCTGACTTCCCTGGTGCTAGTCGACCACCCTTTCCGCTTTGATGAGGCGAGCTGTCCTCTGGAGAGGCTCACCTGTAGCCCACAGGCACTGGATGCTGCCAGCACCCACATGAGCCTGGAAGCAGCACCTGCCCCAGTCGAGTCTCAGAAGAGACTGCAGCCCCACCAGCACCTTGATCACAGCTGTGTCCAGATTCCTGTCCCACAGATACAGTGAGATAATCAACACACAATGCTTTAAGCTACGTCTGTGGTAATTTGCTATGCAGCAACGGATAATTAATACACCCTCGTTTGAGGTTTCTAGGGCTGCCATGACAAATTACCACAAACTGGATGGCTAAATTTATCCTCTCACAGTTCTAGAGGCCAGGAGACGGAAGTCAAGGCATTGGCAGGACTGTGCTCCCTCTGAAGGCTCTAGGGGAGAACCCTTCCTCGCCTGTTCCAGTTTCCAGTGATTATCGCCAATCCTTGGTGTTCTCTGGCTTGTAGCTGCATCGCTCCAATCTCTGCCTCCATCGTCATGTGGCCTTCTTCCCTGAGAGTCTCTATGTTCCAAATTCTCCTCGTTATAAGGAAAAGTCACTGGATTAGTGCTCATCCTAATCCAGTATGACCTCATCTTAACTTGATCACATCTGCGAAGACTATTTCCAAATAAGGTCACATTCACAGGTAGTGAGGCATAGGACTTGAGTATACCTTTTTGGGGGAACACAATTCAACCCACAACACCCCAAAATTAACTATCAAATGACAAACTGAAAAAATATCCAAAACAATTATTATAGCCAAAGGGCCAAAATTCTCCACATACTAGGAGTGCTGAGAAGTTGATGAGAAAATCATCGAGAACTTAAAAGACAAATTCTCCAAAGTGGCAGTTCAAAGGCCCCCAAACGTGGCTGAGCCTTACGCCTCCCTGGTAATCAGACAGGCAGACAGAAACCAAAATGATAAGATAATTTCAGCCACCACATTAATAAGGGCTTTTTTCCGATCTTTTAAATAAACACACAGGAGAATGTCACAAAACAGCTGCTGGGTTGGAAAGCAAACCCGTCACCTCTGTGGAAATAGAGTGCAGAGTACATTCCAGATCCTTCTGTCAGCCTCTAGCTCAGCTGCCTGCTCTGGGAATCCAATCCAGGATGCAACCTAAACTCTGAACAGAGCTTCTGAAAAGGCTCAGAGGACTCAGGAAAGCCAGAACTTTCCTCGTTCGCCTGGAAATGCTCAGGAAAAAACGCTGCTCTTCCAGCTGCTGAAACGTGACACAGCTGTTCAGAAAGGTGTGGGATGTTATGACAGCTTGAGAAGTGCTGGTGCTTACAAGTTAAACGGGACTTTAAAGTAGGATGTGGAGTTATACACCCCAAGTGCTCCCCAAACAGTACGAACCTCAGGACAAAAAAAGACTTGAAAGAAATACACTAAAACCTCCACAATGGCTGGCGCTTGGTAGGGTAGTCATGGTTGCTGTCCATATATTTTCTCATTTTCCTGTACTTACCAAATTCTGTACAATGATTAGGTAGATGTGAAACTGGAAAAACATAAACACTTACTTTTCGTCTCTGATTGAAGGGAGCTGCTGGTGACCGTAAGAACCTAAATGGTCATAGGTCTCCTTCAGAATTTTGTTGACGTCTTCAGGTAAATCATTTTTATCCAGTTTTCTAGAATTAATTCAAACATTAATTAACGCAAGAATCCTGTCAGATTAATTCAAATTATCCTAAGAGAAACTCTAAGTCTATAAACCTGTGTTTCCCCCTAAACAGAAGGCCTAGAATAAATCCTTCCTCCTTCCTTTCCTCCACTCTCCAGCCCACTTCTCATATCACCTCATTCTCCCTCACTGCCCGTCCAAGTTGTTTCTTCCTACATCGCCAAAAATGAAAACACCCCTGGAAAATGTGCACAAGCCCCTCTGCCAGAACCAGTCCCACACAGAGGGCACACTGTTCTGGGACACTTGGCCCTTCCCATGTCCCCTGCCCCAGGACCCAGGGCAAGCAACCCACCTCCCTCTGAACAGCCTCCCTCTCCTCTCACACACTGTGTCTCCTCACTCCCTCTCCTCTCACACACTGTGTCTCCTCACTCCCTCTCCTCTCACACACTGTGTCTCCTCACTCCCCTCTCCTCTCACGCACACTGTGTCTCCTCACTCCCTCTCCTCTCACACACACTGTGTCTCCTCACTCCCTCTCCTCTCACACACACTGTGTCTCCTCACTCCCCTCTCCTCTCACACACACTGTGTCTCCTCACTCCCTCTCCTCTCACACACACTGTGTCTCCTCACTCCCTCTCCTCTCACACACACTGTGTCTCCTCACTCCCCTCTCCTCTCACACACACTGAATCTCCTCATTCCTTCTCCTCTCACACTGCTGGGATCTCCACCAAACTAACTCCCTTTTGCCACTGCAGCAGGTTCTGCCTGCGTCCAGTTCCTCTCCCTCATTCACTCTAACCCACTCCCATCAGGGTTTCACCCACAAGCTGCTCTTGTTTTGCTCAGTTTCATGGTCCAGTCTGTAGCCTCCCTGGCAAGCCCTGTAGGGAGCATCTGATACAGCTGGTGACTCTCTCCTCCCAAAACTCCTTTCTTCACTGGCTTAGAAGCCACAGTCACCCTTGGCAACCTCATGGGCTGCCTCTTAATAAAGGGAGGCAAGGCGGAGTCCCATGCCCCCTGCAGGGCCTCTCCCTGCCACTCAGCACTCTCCCAGCCACTGGCACACCACATCCCTTCACTGAGGGCACAGAGACTCCAAGTCAGCACCACAGGTAAAACTCAACTCTTGCTCTCCCTCCCAAACCACTTACGCTTTCAGCATATTAATGTGGAAAGTGACAGACAGGCTAATGGAAGTTTTCTTTTCTTCCTTTAACTGAAGCTCGTCCATTAATTCATGCTGCACCTGTAAAATGGAACAGAATATTAATTTAGATTTAAACACATAATTAGGTAGAGATCTAGATATTATGTAGCTATTATTTTGCAAATATTCCTCATTTAAAATTAATATTTATAATTAACAAGTATCTTCTCATTAATTATGTTTTATATTCAGTTTTTGTACACAACTTATGTTAATTTCCTAGACACAAAAATTATTAGATGATGAACGCTCTTCATACATGCTATTTTAATTACTTTATCTTTACAAATTTTCTGCTAACCTTTTTTTTAAATTCAATGCTGTTATTAAAAAAAATCCAAAGAGTCACAATAAAGCAAAAAGACTTTGTTTTGTTTTGTCCACATATGCACATATGTATGTTTTTATATCTCTCAATGGATAGACTTCCTTGCTGTTTCTATAGTTTTCTGAAGAATGACATTTAAGAAAATTATTTCTTCTATCTACATTTTTCGATATGCCAATTTACCATAACAGAAAATATTTGTCGATATTTCTGTGGCACGTTAGCTTTTATGAACGGTGCTGCAGTGGCGCAAAACTTAGCGGCCTCCTCCTTTTTTCCAGCCTGAAGATAACACTCCAGAAGCTCCCTGGATAATATAAAAATAATAGGTATTAAACCTTGATGAAATCATTTTGTGCTGCAAATGTGTAATAACTGGGTTATTATACTTGCACTATTTTTGTGTTTCACAAACTTCAGACAGATACACAGATAGGCCAGTTCCTAACCGCAAACCCACAGCCTGTGGCTTACCAGGGACATGCCAGCAGGCACTGGGAAAGCTATGCTACTGCTAGCAAGAGGGAAAGAGAATTGTTTTCACTTTAACTACCTAGGACATTTAAAAATGACCTTTTAAAGAAAAATTGTATTTATATTTTCTGTTACAGGCTCCCCAAATGGCCCTAAAGCACGTGAGGAAAGCCTGTAGATTCTGGATTCTGACTTCAGGGCAGATTCTCTGGGTCCTCTTGGCATATGGCTCCCCAAGTACAGGAAAAGTCTGACAGAGCGCCTTTCATTCCCCCAGCACAAGGACCACCTGTTGACATCTCTTGCTGTGGTTTCTCAGGGCCCTCCCTGTGGCAAATATACTCGGCACACGCTTCCCTAACAGGACCGCCTGGACCAGCAAGCCCATTCTGGCTGAGTTTTATATTGCTGAAATGTCTACTACATTAACAATTTACTGAACTAAGTTTTTAAAACCATGAGTGAAGACTATGACACAGGCTCTCACTTCCTGTGTTTCCAGTCATAACATTCGCCCTGTTGTAACACTGGTGTAATCAGGACACTGTGACGTCATCTACAGAGTTTAGAAACATCTTCAGACAAATGATACAAACAACATAATTCTAACTACAGAGTAGACAATAATGGCATACACCCTGCGTGTAAAGTCATCACCCCATGGGAGAAGGCAGGGCGGCTCCCACTCACAGCATCAGCTCCGCCCGCCAGTCCTTGTCTTCTTCCTCCGTCTGATTCAGCACAGTCACAATTTGGGAGAGGCTGGGGATCAGGTGGTGATGATATCCAGGCTTGAGAAATGGCCTCACCATCTGCCAGTAGAGGACTGAAGCATTGTACACCAAGAAGTAATACCTGTGGCACAAGAGGAAGTCTGAGACTGGCTCGGAAGGCAGCCTGTCCAGAGCCCCCTTCTGGGAGGGAACCTCGAGTCCTCTGCTTCCAGCAGATGGCAGCAGCCCCATCTGAGAGGCTCTGGCCCACACTGCGTGAGTGTGGTACACAGGCCTCCCAGCCACGGCACCCTGCTCAGATGGTGCTGGGTCCAACTAGAGATCCTTTCACTCATTCAGTAACTTGATAAAGTGACTCACTCCCTGTGAAAATACACCAGTGAGCAAGGCCTCCTTTGGTTTCCAAGGGATAGACAAGAATGGGCAAGTGCAGGGAGGAAATCAAGGAAGGCTTCCTGGAGGAGCTGACATCCCTGGAGAGGGAGCAGGAGCACCCTCAGAAGCTAGGCTTTTTCCTGAGGGCTGCAAGGGCCACAGGAGTTATCTGAGTAAGGGGCTCACAGGGGCCAATGTGCCTGACTCCAGGCCTCTCCAGTGGGGCCAGCTCCGACTTTTGAGCTTAGGTACCTGGTGGTGTTCTAACTGGCCATTAGATGGACGAGTGCCACTAATTACCGCTATTCCTCAGGAAGGAGGAAGGCCCAGGCCAAGGCAATAAGATAAAACCACCCGCTCCTTCATGGGGTTTACTCAGAGCCATGGAATGACCCAGGTCACGACTTATTTTTTCCCCAGCTTTTCCAGGAAAGGAGGGGAAGTGCAAGATGTCATCGACGGTGCAAGCTCTGACTCTCGGCGTTCTGTCCAGATGGTCAGTCACCTCTGCCTGGAGGGACTCCGATCAGCCTGTTGTGCCTCCCCAGATGCCACATCCAGAAAGGAGCTCATGTCCCTGCAAACTCGTCTCCCGATTCCTACCATGGTCGGAGGCTGTGCAGACACTCCCCCACACTCTCACATTGGCTGCTCTCTCTTCCCCACTGCCACTGCCCTGGCCCCACCATCCTCTCTCCCCTGGACCACCCAGGGCCGTCTCCCAGCTCCTCTCTTCCTGGCTGCCCCAGGTCTATTTCTAAAGGTGGTCCTGCCAGCCCCCAAGGCTCCTGACCCACCCTCATCCTGTCTGCAGGTGTCCCCAAGACCCCCGGAGTGCAGCAGCAGCCAGGCCCCTCCCTGAGGGCGCCCACCAACTCGGCTTCACGGCTCCGGGGCATATTCTCCTGGAAACATCCACTGTCCTTAGAACCTCTGGTTCCAGGCCAGGCCTCCTATCCACACGTCCCCACTGAGGGAGGGTCTGCGGAGCTGGACCCTGTATGCCCAGCATTACAACAGGTGCTGGCCAGAGACGGCCACCAGCAGCAAGTATTGGGAGAATGAATGAATGAACCTAAGATTTATACTTATATCTCCTTTAAATGTTGTGTCCTATTTAAATAGGCTGTACTAATGCCAGTTTGTATACAAGCTTAACAGTTTCAATAATATTGATTTTTGATGAAGAAAGCATTAACTAAGTATCAAACTGTGCTGCAGTTTTCACCAGATCACCTCTACAGGCATGAGGCCTTGGCCCAGGCGCTCCGCCAGGGGCAGTATAGGCAAGTGGGGCAGCGCAGGGAGGGAGCCAAGATGCTGAACCCCATCAGAGGCCCGAAAGCGAGGGGGCCCTGGGGACAGGCAAAAAGAGGCCCACAGCGAAAGCTGACAAAGTCATCTGCAGATCACAGACATGGCTGAACAGGGTAGAGGATGCAGTTACAGGAACTGTGCATGCACGCGGCCAGTTCTCATGTGAGAGACATGAGTATGTGACCATCAATGCAGAAAAAACACAAAACAAAACAAGGACAAAAAATCCCAACAGTCTGAACAGATAGAACCACTTGGTAAATTCTGTTTCTGAACCTTTTACACAATCAGTTAGAATCGGCCGATTCCATCGTGCCCACCTCGGTTCTCCTTTGGCAAAGTTGATGGCCTTCATATACTGAGTCACACAATTTTCAAATTCCTCCTAAAACAACACAAAGAACACACAATTAAATTGAATTTGCCAGTGAAACATCAACCACTGCTCATTGTCACTTCCGTGAGCACGAAGCCTCTCTGAGGACTGGCCTGGCCCCCTGTGCCTGAGCAGCAGGAGCTGGAGCGCGGGGCAGAAGCCACAGCTGCGTGTGCTCTCGGGCGCCCCAGCCTCTCTCCCTGGAAGCTCCCCCCTACCTGCCTTGAGGACTGCTGTGGACATGACTGTGGCACTAGGATGCAACGGTCAAATGGCAAACAGGACACAAGTCAGACTCCACTGCTTAGGGAAAAGGCATAAACGGGAAATACTGCAAGTTTCGAGTCACTGAAAATCAATCTGGCCACTTGACTCAACAAAAAACATTTTCAGATTTGTCTAGCCTGACACGAGTTTGGAAGTGGGGTGAAATTTTTACTGTTGCGATACAAGAGGCAGAATTTTGAGGAGAATCAAGGCAACCTCGGGGGAAACAATATAGTCATACAAAGCATGACGTGTTCATTTTAGACAGCGAACCAGCAAAGGCGTGCACTCCATCCCCTGGGGAGCGTGAAGACCGTGCATACGAAGCCTTCACAACTCAAATGAACTAATAAAGAAAACTGGAGGAACCGGCACGCAGGGGGCGCTCCTGCTGGCAGTTCCTGCTGGGCCCAGGGGCCCGGGACCATCTCTCACCAAGTTTTCGGTGGACTTGGGGGCACACAGCTGGGCCCTGCACAGGTGCGCTCGGCCCAGAAACTGGGTGACCGGCCCCTTCACCTTGAAGTACATCTGGATGCAGTCCTCGCTCACCGCTGGTTGCCCCATCTGCAAGAGAAGACCTCCGCGTGCAACGGCTCCAAGGACGCCTTTGGATGGTGCTGGCTCCCTTCCCATAAACACACTCCAGACAGGCTCTGAGGATGGACCTGAGCACCCACCCTGCAGCCTCCTCCAGTGGACCACCCCACCAGGCGCTCCGCTTTCCCCAGTCCCACCTTCTGCTTCCATTATAAACCCAGAAATAGAGATCTCCTGACACAACGCCCTAGGGGCCCTGGGCTTAATGACCTTCAGGGCCTGCTCGGCACACAGAACAAACAGGTCCGGGCTGAAGCTTTCTGTGGGGTCAAACTCCGACTTCCCCAGGTTGGCAGACTTGATCAGTTCATAGGCCCTCTTCAGGGAGGCAGCATCTATCAGGACGGCAGTGAAGGAACTGGTCAGGAAAAGGCACCCGCCGCACCCCTGGGCAAGAGCGGGGAGGCCAGGAGGGGCCGGGAGGGGCCGGGGCAGGCCAGCGCCCCTGGCCGTGCTCCCCCTGGCCGTGCTCCCGGAAGATGCCCCGCACCGCGCGGCCCCGCAGAGCGGCCAGCCAGAGCTTCGGACGCAGCGGCGTGAACATCCTGAGGGGCCTCTCAGGACGGCAAACCCTCCTCCGGTTCACATTCGCCCAGGGGGACAAATCCGCGAAGCGCGGGCTTCCGGAGGTCACCGGGGCTGGCGGCGCTGCGACCAAGGGGATTGGGGCGGGGGGGGGGGGCTCTTGGTGGGTCCTGGGGCCTCCCTAGGCCAGGGGTGGGGCGCTCTCGGAGCCGCCCCACGCGGGGGGGGGGGGGGGCCAGGACCCAACCCCAGGGCCTGGAGGGGCGTTGTGGCCGCGGGATCAGGCTGGTCCCGGGGGGTCAGTCTCGTCCCCGGCGTTGGGGCGGTCCCGTGGTCTCCCCAGTCAGGGGCCGGGCCCCTGCCCACCCTGCTGGCTCTCGGCGCGGGCCAGCTCCTCCGTGACAACCAGGTCCATGGCTCCAGGCCGGTTGGCTTTCTCCTGTGGAGCCGGTGGCGGTTGCTTAGCGACCGAGAGGGACGCGGACCGGGTCCTACGGGCCGGCGGCGGGGCCACACATCTCCAGAGGCGAACCGCCGCCGGGTCCCCGCCCCTGCGCTGGTTTACCCATCCGCACTGGAGCGGGGGCGGGGCGGGGCGAGCGAGGAGCGGGCAGGGGCCTAGGTGGGGCGCAGGGGAGTGGGTAAGCTGGGAGGGGAGGGCGCGCCCACGTAAGGTCATGCTTTCGCAGGCCTGTCCGCCCTTGTACTGGCCCCGCATCCCTGCCAAAGCCCCTAGACTAGACATGGATGCTAGTCTCCCATGTTGGCTGATGGCACCCACCCCAACCCTCCTGATGATGGTGCAAACTGGGGCTGCCCTGGGCTCCAGTCCTGGCCCTTGGCCATCCCCCTCACATTTTCCCGAAATGTAGTCCTGCATTCCTTGGCTCTTTCATCCATTCATTCATTCTACAAATAGTTATTTGCCCCCTGCCATGGGCCATAGCTGAGCGGGGCCTGTGCAGGCAGAGACGTGGACAGGCCCCCCCGTGGGTAGAGGACGTCACACAGAATAAATGTGCGCCTCCTGGGTGCCACCAAGGGAAGCCAGGGAGCCTGACAGCTTGTACAGTGGCCTGATCCTGGGTGTGGGGCCAGGGGGTGGTGGTGGGGAGCAGTAGGGAGAGCACCCTAAAGGCAAGACAATTGACCCCAGATCTAAAAGAGGAGAGGAGGTGCCAGACAAAGAAAAGAGGGAAAAGGATGCCAAGAGAGTAGCATCTTGCAAGGCCTGAAGGAGGGAGGGGGCCAGCTGGGGATGCACAGTGCTGTGGGCTAGGAGGGCAGGAGACAGCCACTGCTGGGGCAGGGTTCCCCTCTTCCTACCTCCCCAGGAAGCCCACAGCGTGTCTTAAACAGTGTGTGTCAGTCTGAGCGTTTTCTGTGGGTGCCGGGTGGAAACTGGTTCGGAGGGAGTGAGACTGATGAGGACCAGCCAGTGCGAGCAAGCGAGCAGAGATGCCGTGGGCTGGCTTACAAGGCAAGGACAGAAAGGGAAGAGCAGATGTGAGTGATGGAGCAGGTATGGGGCCAGGAAGGGCCAAGAGGCCATGGCACTGGGGACAACACACTGGGATCGGGGTGGGGGGGGGGGGCATACACTTTTGCAGGGAACTCTGGGAAAGGACTAGCTGGAGGAGGGCTCAGGAGATAGTCCAGGTGTTCTGCCTGGAACTTGCAGGATGTGAGGTACTTAGAGTTGACACTTAGGAGGGATCTGTGCTCAGAAGAGAGCTCTGGGCTGGAGGAACAGGCTTTTGAACAGCTGCTTAGAAGTGATGGAGTGTGGCTGAGATTGCTGAGGGAGAGCACACCCAGGGAGGCTAGCAGGGGGCTGAAGACTAGACTTGGAGAACCCCAGGCCAAGAGTAGCAGGAAGAGCTTCAGCAGAAACAGAAGTGGGGCCAGAGATGTGGAAAGGAAGTCATACAGGCCTGGATCCAGAAGCCAAGGGAAGGCTGTTTCGAAGCAGGGAGGTGGATCAGCTAGGTCAAATGTGGCCAAAACACCAGTAAATGAGCACTGAGAAATAGCTTTGGGTTTCCCAACATGGATGCCATCGGTGACCCAGGAGTAGACATTTCTCTGAATTGGGGGGTGGGGCAGAGCCAGTTGGAGGGGGTAGAAGAGTGAGTGAGGGTGACAGGGTGGAGAGAAAGGTAGATACACAACTCTTTCAAAACATTTGGCTCTTAATGGGAGGAAAGAGGCTGGGTGTTGATGATGTAGGGCCTTTCGTGTCTGGGGAGGGGTCTTTTTAAAGGTAAGGCAAGCGCTTTTAAAGCTGATGCATTTATTCACAAACAATATGATTGTGTATGTAAAAAAATCCTGTGGCATCTACAAAAATACTACAACTACTAATAAGTGAAGTTAGCAAGGAGCAGGATGCCACATCAGTATGTGAATATCCATTGTATCTGTATATACTGTATGAGCAAGAAACAGAGAAGGACAGAAAAATACCATTTAAAATAGTATAAAAAGTGAACTACTTTGGAATAAACTTAACAAAAGATGTATAGCACTATTACATTGAAAACTACAAAACACTGCTGACATAAACTAAAGAAGACCTAAATAAATGGAGAGATATGCCAAGTTCATGAACTGGAAGACTAAAATTTGTAAGGTGTCCATTCTCCCCATGTTGATCTTTAGACTCGATGCAATCTCACTCAAAATCCCAGCAGGCGATTTTCTGGAAGTTGACAGCTGATTCTAAACTTCATATGGAAACACAAAGGACCTAGAATGGCCAAGATAATCTTGAGGAAGAAGAACAACGTTGGAGGACTCACACTATTTGATTTCAAGACTTACTGTAAAGCTGCAATATTTCAGACAGTATGGTATTGGTGAAAGATAGACAGGGAGACCAAGGGACCGGAAGAAAGAGTTCAGAACCAGACCCACATGTATACAATCCATTGATTTTGACATATGTGCCAATTCAATAGGGAAAGCAAAGTCTTTTCAACAAATGATGCTAGAACAACTGGATCGTGAATGAGGAAAGAAATGAACCTGCATCTCTGAATCACACCATGCACAAAAATTAATTTGAGATGGATCATAGACTTCAAAAGTAAAACTTTGATGTTTATAGCTTCTAGAGTAAAACATAAAATATTTCACCATCTTGGGGCAGGCAAAATTTCTTGGAGAGTGCATAAAAAATGAAACCATAAAAGAAGAAATAGATAAATCTGTCCTCATCAAAAGTAAAACCTCTGCTCTTGGAAAGGCACTGTTAAGGAAATGAAAAAGCAAACTACAAGTTGGGGGAAAATATTCACAATAGATATATCTGCCAAAGGACTTGTGTCCAGATTATATAAAGAAAGCCTATAAATCAATATTAAAAAGGCAAGTGAAAAAAATGGGCAAAAGATTTGAATAGACACTTGACAATCAAGATATATGAATATCCAGTAAGCACATAAAAAGTGTTCAGCATCATTGGTAATCAGGGAAATAAAAATGTAAATCAAAATGAGATACCACTTTAGAGCCACTAGAATGACTAAAATTAAAAAGACCAACAATGATGAATATAGTGGGATATGAACAACTGGGATTCTTACACACTGCTGGTGAGAATGTAAAATGGTACCATCACTGAGAAACTGGAAGTTTTTAATCAAGTTAACAATGCACCTACCCTATGATTCAGAAATTCTACTCTTAGGTGTTTACCCAAGTGAAATGAATGCACGTATCCACAGAAAGACTTGTATGAAATGTTCCTAGCAGCTTTATTCATAATAGCCCCAAAGTGGGAACAACCCAAATATCCAACAATAAACAATTGTGGCATAGTCACACAATGGCCCACTACTCAGCAATCAAAAAGAATGAGCCGGTGATACTGCAACAAGATGGATGAATCTGAACAATGGTGAGCAAAAGACCAGGCATAAAAGAGCCCTCTGTGGGATTCCATTTCAGGAATCGGACCAAAGGCTAGCAAGTTCTGGTAGGAACTGCCTGATTTCAAAGAGTCAGGCCAAAGCACCAAATGAGTACTCACAGAAAGGACAAAGCCTTTAACAGAAAGAATGAAGCCTTCAAAAAAACAAATAAACAAAAAAACCAGATCCCAAATAAAGCTTAGAGAGCTTCAAAATGCAAAAAGAGTGGAGCTTGACCTCCAGGAGAGACTTACCCTGTAACTCCAGGATCGATGAGAAAACAATGAGCCCGATGGGCTCTGTGGGTGTCAACACCTGTTACCTGTTTGCTCACCCACCTAGGAGTTGTCAGGGGTCTTCTCTGGATCTCAGTGGGACCTCCAAATAATGTTAACTTAAAACAAATAAACAGCCAGTTATTTACCAGCAAAATGGGTTTATTTGGGAACAGCTAAGAATTGCAGTTCAGGACATGCATTCTATGGTGAACTGCAGGCAAATCTGGAGAACAAAAGAGAGAATTGTTCTTTTATAGAGAAGGGGAGTTGGGCAGGGCTGTTACAAACAGAGAGTCCATTGGAGGAAACTGGGAGTGCAAAGTATAGTGGCTTTTCACTGGCTGAGTTGTGGCAGTCTCTCATTGGCTGAGCTGTGGCCAGGCAAGAAAAAAATCTTCCTTCCTCCTGCTGGGGTAGTCAGTATCACTTCCTGTCCTAGGTGTGAGGTTCCTCTCTTCTGCTGGGGTCTATGTTGACGTGGAGTGGTGCTGCATGGGATCTCCTCCTTCTGGCCTGCCGACTCCATTTTAAATGAGGTTTCTGTTTATTAATTTTCACACGTGCGATTCTAGGTTCCCTAAAGGCGATAGAAGTCAGGGTGAGAGGTTCACTGGGAAGGGAGTGATGGAAAAGGTCCACATCTTGACTGGAGCGTCAGACACACAACTGTATACATTTTTCAAAACTCACTGAAGTCAACATTTAAAGCTGGAGCATTTTGTTTGACGTCCATTGTACCTCAATGACAAACCAAGCCAAACCAAACACAGAGCTCCAGGAGCCCCAGGACATGAGCTCCGACGTAAGAAGGAGCTGGGGCTCCCCCAGGCCAGGCAGGTAGGAGGATGACGAGCTGTCGGCCGTCAGTCGCTTTGCCCTGGGAAGCTGAGGGAGTCTCTGCCAAGTGCTCCTGCTTTCAGGGACATTGGAGGCCAGGCCGTCTGCCGAGGGTGAGGACTGTTGGGGTCTGGGCATGGAGGGGGGCGGGAGTGAGTGACGAGAGACTCCTGTGGGGGCCGGGGCAGAGCCGAGGTCCCATCAAGGTTGGGAGCCATGACCCTCGAGTGGCACTCTGGCCCTGTGAGACTCCTGCAGAGCTCAGCTGCTCATGGCGAGGATAGGAGAAGGTCCCATTTTGGTCCTTTTGGTTGTGAGGCTGGCACATGGCAAGGCTGAAAGAACAGGGCTGGCTTGGTGCAGGTATCCGACCGAGAGTACCCGGCATACTGGACATGGAGGTCACTAGGGAAGGAGAGCTGGTGGGTGGGGAGAAAGTGGGGTGTTAGTGTGCTGGGACAGGCTGGGATGTGGTGAGGGTG